GAAGGAGAAGCTAACCCTGATGGTAAGCAGGAATCCAAAGCTCCTTCCTGTAAGATCAGCTTCTACCCAGCATGGTTCAAGAAGAAACTCTGACTCTAGCTGGAATCTAAGGGGTCAGCGTTTGGAATCTAAGGAGGGGTCAGCGTTTGGAATCTAAGGAGGGGGTCAGCGTTTGGAACCTAAGGGGGTCAGGGTTTGGAATCTAAGGGGGGTCAGTGTGTGGGTGCACGAGCGCTGTTGAAGAAGCTGGGGGCACGGCCCTGGTTTGCACCCTACACAGAGCAGGTGAGGCCCCTACCCATCTAACTACGGGCTGCTCTAAAATAGATGTAGCTTCACTGCTGGCTTGTCACAGTCATTTGCAACTCCCCAGAGTAATCCTGATGATTTGTAACATCTTTTGACATTATCCCTGAGCCAAGGACTACTGGGGCTTTGCTCCCTCAGTATGCATCACCTCGGTAATCACCCGTATCCGTTAACCTCCCAGCACTCCCCTGGGACTGAGGCACGTCCTCTCGAGGATGTTTCTTCTGGGTGAAACTCGCCACGAGTCTGAACCATGCATGAGTCCTGGCACCGCAGCTTGCCCGGCTGGAGAGCTTCCATGAGACCTCTTTTGCCCGAGGCTTGCCCCGTCCGAGGACAGCCTGGAATTTCAGGGCAGCCTCGGTGCCCCAGCAGCGCGTTTCCTTTTTGGGTAGGCAGAAAGCTGGTCTCCATTTTCCTACCGTGGGTTTCACATGGTTCTTCAGCCTGGTAGCAGCCCTCTTGCTGACACATCAAGACTTTTCCAAGAAGCTGCAACAGCAATCGGGTCATCCAGCCTTTTGCAAACTCGTGAGTTGGTTAAAGTGATGAACAGTCACACCGCGACAGTCGTAAAAGCATTACTCAAAAGTAATCTGAACGGCCTCGTTTCTTCCCTGTCTCCCCCAGTATTCTGCTTAGATTGAACGAAACCCCCAAAGAGGGCCTGCTGGCACCTGCTCAGGAGTGGAGGAACCCACAAGCTGTACGGGGTGAGCGTAGGTGGCTCATCCTGGGTGGCACCTCCGATGTCCCTGTGTCCTGGTCATAACTGCTGGGATGGACACAGTACGCCAGGAAGCTCCGGTACGCAGCTCCTCACCGTACCACAACGCATTAGCATCAATTATTGTCCTTCTAAGTGTAACAGTGAGAAAAATTGGTCAGATTAATATTCCTAGAGAGTGGATGGGACAGCATGTCAGTGGGACAGCAACGACTTCTCCCACCAACCTCTTCTTTTAGGGAGGTAAGAGGGGTGGAACCACCACCTATGATTGATCTTTTTCTGTCTATTCTTTTGCTCGCCCCAACGAACCTCCCGGAACGGGTTTGTGGGATGGCTGGGAAGCAGCAACTCGAGTCCCTACTGCCTTTCTGACCTGTGGAGATCGCTTCGAAAAGGAATTCAGCCTGATCTTCTCATGGCTCTGACTTCACTTCCCCCACACGGCATCATTTCACTCTTCTGCGAGC